AGCGCCCTGGAGAGGGAACTCCTGGGCATAGTATGGGCAGTAGGGCATTTTAGGCCATATATTTTTGGCAGAAAGTTTAAAGTCCATACCGATCACAGACCGCTGCAATGGGTCGGTAATCTGAAGGAATCGTCAGCAAGGGTCACCCGGTGGAAGCAATTTCTAAGCCAGTACAATATGGAGGTCATGTACAAACCGGGTAAGGAAAATGTGGTAGCGGACTGGTTGTCCAGAGCCATCATGATAAATGCCATCGAGGAGGAAGAAGGGGAGTCGTCAAGGGACGTGCGGCAGTTTTTAAGAACGTGGACACCGGAAGGTGAAGGGGAACCTGGGGACGTGGGGCAGAGGAGTCGAGAGGAGAAGAGAGCTCGGTAGACGAGAGGCCTACAGACATGGAGGAATGTGAGGAGATCGTCAACGATAAGAGACGACAGGTCATTTGGAAGACCAGAACGTCGGGGCTCATGAAGATCGACTTCAGTAAATACGGCAAGAAGAAGATTAACACCATTTGGTCCCAACCAGGGGTGAAAGAAGAAGAGATCTGTAAGGCTTTGCACGACGCTTCAGAGTCGGGGAAAACTCACCATTTGTATGTGGGCAATGCGACCGTCTGGGAGAAGATCAAAAAACTCTGGAGAGCAGAGAAGATAGGCGTTGACAGGTCGTTCATTAAATGCAAATACCTAGTTGAAACATTAATGGACAAGGAGCAGCAAAAGGAAGTAACGCTGGCACATCACCAGGGCAAGACCAACCATAGGGGGAACAGGAAACGTTTCAAGCGTTGCGCAGAAGATATTTTTGGGATGGCATGAGGAAGACAATTGCTGAAATCATTGGGAGATGCGCAGTGTGCGCGCGTACTAAATACGATAGACGGCCACCTCAAGGATTGCAGGAGGAAACCCCTACGGGAGACATGCCATTGAAAGATGTGCAAATTGATACATTTACGTGGAGGGGGTTTAAGTGGATTACAATGATCGACCTCTTTAGCAAGGTAGCAATGACACACCAAGTACGAGATAAGTTGTCGGAGGCGGTTGTGGGGGCTCTACAAACGTGGGCCCAGTTCTACGGAGTGCCTGATCGCATAACGTCGGACGGAGGGAGGGAGTTCGACAATAGTACCGTGCGTGAGGAGGTTAAACGATTGGATATAGCTTGGCATTTTAATACTCCAGGACATACAAAGGGCAGAGGAAATATAGAGAGGTTGCACAGCACGTTAAGCGACCACCTACGTATTTATCAAGGGGAGCAAGGATTGGAAGGAGATGTAGCCATGAAAAGAGCAGTAGCGGCCTATAATCATTCAATCCATTCCGTTACAGGGTTTTCTCGGGTCGAGGTATTGTTTGGAGTAAATATACGGCGACGGGATTGGATGGAAACACTCACGGACGAGGCACAAGCTCAACGGATCACGTGTAACAGGGCAGAGATAAGGAGAGTATGGGAAAAAACGAGAGGAAAAATAGAGCGGGAAAAACGGAAAAGGGTGGAGAGGGCCAATCTGAACCTCAAGGACAGAATGGGGGACTTGAAGATAGGGATGACAGTCTATCGTAGGGTAGGTTCTAATAGGGGGAAAGAACTGGTACGCTACGATGGACCATTCAAAGTGATCGTACTTCGTGAACACAATCTTTGTACCATTCAGAGTTTGAACGATCCTAGGAAACGACGGACCGTTCACATAGAACAATTGAAACTTCCGATAGAGTCGAGTCAGTTGTAAATAAGTGGTATATCCTCTTTTTTGTCTCCTACAAGCTATGGAAGGTTTATTTCATTTGTAGTTTTATTAGTATTGCAGGAAAATGTCTAATTTTATTTGTTCGGTGCTATGGCTGTATGGGAGCGCCAAGGAAGATTATTATTTTTTTTTTTTTTTTGTTTTGTTATGTATTATATCACTAACCCTGCGTTAGTTTATGAGGAGTGTTCATAAACTGGCGGGGGGGAGTTATGGTTAGATGTAAGTAATATATTAGTTAATCCTATTCAATAATTGTAAACAAACCGTGATGCTATATATATATATATATACGGAGAGAATAAAGTCAGTTTAGTTTGAGCAACCACGTGTCTTATTTCAAGCCTTCTTTCTTTTTTTTGTCTTTCTCAGTTCGAACCGACGTAAGTTATATATATATATATATATATATATATATATATATATATATATATTCTTATTGTTTCTTGCCGCTCAGTGTCACGAAAGTATTAGGTTCCCGATTTCCCAACAACAGTTAAACACCCTCAAAAAGTCTATATCCAGTGCCGGGGTTTTGTTTAATAACCTGGTCTCCCGACTAAACGGAAGGCTATTCGCAATTGCTCGTCAAAAAGGTCATTTACAATAAACCTTTAACAGATCCCAGTTAACAAGTGGCGCCGAACAGAAGTAAACTATTGATTGGGTCGCGGAAGATTAATTATCATTCAATTTATTAAAAAATAAATAAGTTTGTTTATTTTGCAATTTCGAAATGGAGTCGCGTAAAGACCACGCTAAAATGTTAAAACTGTCTGTAGGATTCGAAAAAATACGTAACCGTTTTCCGACATATTTGAATTTTTCGTATTTCAATTTTGCACAGCAATTAATAATGCAAAATAGCCCAGTCGTTAGTGAAATCTCAACAAACAAACATGGCTGAGATCACAGGTCGGTACCAACCAAACAAAAGCTCAGTCAAATTTTGATACGGCAACTATTTTGGCTGCACTCACATCGTTCAAACTGGAATTAAGATCGGATTTCCACGATCAAAGAAAATATATGGAAAACTTAAGTAACAAATTGGATAAGTACATAAATAAAAATGATACAGTAGTGAAAAATGAATTTAAAATGGAGTTAAGTCCATATCAATAAACAAGAAACGAAGTCTGAATATGTCTCTATTATACACAGCTCACCTATTCAAGATGGTGAAGCACTAGGAAATAATAATGATGAAAGTTCTATGGAAACTAAAGATGGATAGAATCCTACAAATGTACAAACTATTGAAAACATTCTAGTTAATAATAATGAACATTTATTCGAAAATAACATAAATTCGAAATAGTCGAAAGAGACCGGACCCAGAAATTTTCTACGGGTGGAGGCACAATTGAATTCCATACATCAAAGGTATATATACTTGTTTATGTATATATATATATATATATATATGTGTGCGTATTTTAGTTGTTTGCTTTCTTAATACCGAAGGTAGGGAAGCATTGTATTAGTGCGAGAGGTTAAAAAAAAAATTATGCTCAGAATCGAAAATTTAAACCGAGGCTCATTTAAAAGTACGAATTGTGCACATTCAATGAAATGGTTAGCTGAGTAAGTCAATCTGTGACGTTTGCATCTGGTTTAATATTATTTATTTACTTTCGTCGCGACGGCTTGTCCTTTAATCATGTTTATCAATTAGTGGATTCAAGGTCCAAAAAAATCACTTTTTTTATTTCTTCATATTTGTTTTTATGAGTGATCTGTGACAAATATTCAAACAATCACAACATTTTATTTTCTTAATTATAACTTATGCACTTTAGTAAACGCTCAAAAAATATAAATCATATATAAACTATCCGCTGAAAAGTCGTTTAGGTCAAAGGATACGGAATCTCATCAAATGGCACTCTCAGAAGTTAAAGCAATAAATAAAGCATTGTGATTTAGAAGAGGTGATACAACCAGAACCCAGACTTCAAACCCCTGGTATGTACTGCTCATTTTTAAGGAACTAGTATTAATTTTCTAACTTAGAACTGGACATAACAGGCTTAACTCACAGCTCTACAAAAGTTTTAAAATTTGTCCAACTACTTTATGTGAATGTGGAAGAGGCAACCAAAGAATGGAATAAATTCTCCAGACGTGTTTCCTAATGAAGGAACAACGGAAGCAGAGATGGCCTGAATCAACTAACTTGGTGGCTTTATACCATACAGAGTACCATCAACTTTATCATGTCATTCTATGACGTAGCGGTTGAACGGGATGAACCAAGAGTGACCTCCCCTCCTCTTCATGGCCGATGGATCATAAACCTTCCCTTCCCCTCCCAAAATATTTTATTTCTCTCTTCTTCTTAAAAACAGTGCAAACAAAAGTAGAATTTGAATATTCATAGTTTATATACAATTACACATCCTGTGGTATATTCCATGCTTCCACTTGTCTTCTGATTTGAAACTTACGTTTTGAAAATTCATAATCCCGTCGAAATGTATCCTGATCCTGACATCCCAAGCGATCGTTTATCACAATCTCCGTCAAGATTACTCAGCTTAACAGGGTCCACTTCGTGAAAGTGAGAGAGGATTTGGAATGAAAACTCAGTGTATTACGCATTACACCCCCTTGAATCCCAATTTAAAAACTTTGTGTCAATCAAATAAATAAATGGAAGATACATACAATTAGAGATATATTGTTTTAAAAACAGTGTATAGTTGTATTTCTCCAATGAGTTATAGAGAAATTTCCACAATCCAATTGAAATATGAAAATACAGTTTTTATTTTGTCACTATTAGATTTATTAAGTAAATTTTATTTTTTTTCATTAACCATATAGGATGAAATATCTATCATTATAATGGCTTAGAAGGCACAATAAAGCCAGAGTTAAGGGGAAATAATGAATTAAGTATTATTTATTTTTATTTTATTTTGTTTGTGTGAAATTAGAAATCTGGTAAAGGACATGGTATATAAGCTAACCACTCATCCTCACTTCAACAACTTCAAGTGGGCATACGACAGTATTGGAGTAACTGTACAGTACAAAGGAATTGTATAAGGTCCTAGAGAAGCTTAAAGTCCCAGGAAACCTCACAGGATTTTTAATGATGACCATGAGAAACTCAAAATGTGCAGTCCACGTTGGGTCAAATCTTTCTGAAGCATTTGAAGCCAATAGTAGAGTAAGAATATTATTTATGCATCAATTATTATTAAATAAAATAAGCCATAGGATTAAATTGGTTTAATAAAAACAATTGATTAATGTCTACATTTTTTTTATTTATATGAACAATATTGAGATATTATATTAATAATATTAATTAATATTGGCAATAATAAAAATAAGTTTTGGTTCAGCCTCCTAAAACTATGTCACGGAATTCTTTCCTCTTCTTGCCACTAACCTTTTGACATCCAAGACCTGAAAACAAAATTTCATTTGTTTAATATCCAATGTCCAGTATCAGATGGTTTTCAAAACCTTCTGTATCAGAAGGTCATATTTGTTAAAGTAGGATATGATTTAATTTGTGTATAGACATAGTGATGTACTAAGTGCATATTTACTTTGTGTAACATTTTTGAAATGTTTGTATATGATTCAATCATGATAATCAGTGTATTTTGTAGTTTATGTATATATCTATGTAAGTTATTTTCAAATGATTAAATTAAAGTACTAAGCCTTACTGTTAAAATAAAATTTAATTTAGCATGTTACAATGAATATATTTTTAGAGAAAATTTGAATTGAAGAAATAAATTAGAAAAATATGAAATTAGAACATACACTAGTTTCTTGACTGATACATTGATATCGCTTCAAATATAATAAGTTAGTTTTGACCATAATCATATTCAATATATAACTGCTGTACTCACTCTTGATCTTCGATTTAATCCAAGGAAGGAAAGCTGTTACTTCTGTAAAGATAGTAGGTACTTGTGGGTCACATACTCCACTACCGAAAGATACAAGACCTACCAAGGTGTACCTGTTGGTTTCAGGATCCAAATAAGTCAGTGGACCACCAGAGTCACCCTAAACATAAATTTTTATTATTATTATTTTTCACAATTACTAATTCTACCTTACTAAGATTATATAACAAAGATACTAGCATGAATTTTCAAGGTTTATTAAATTATATTTGGTGAAGATTATATTAAAAAAATAAAAAGGCACGAAACCGTGAATTGGACAAATGCAAATTTAGAAGAGAAGTTGCATTAAAAAAAATCTTTCCAGAAAATGGGAGTTTCACCCTACCTATAATTGTATAGTGTCAAATCGTACAAGAACTTTCAGGGTATTTTATTTGCTGACTGTATATAAAAATATTTAGTCCAAAATGTGTTTTATTGGGTTTCAAAAATAAATTAAATAAGCTACAACAAGCTAATTGTAGAAATATAAAATTAGCTTGGCAGGAGTACAAGCAGCTGATGTCAACTCCTCCATTCCTTCCATATCTCCCCAATACACTGCTATTTCAAGTTTTGGTTAATTATGAACCTATTGAAATATGAATTATTTTTTGTTCAAGTATACCAATTATCCTCTGCAATTAAAAACTAACTGATCCGAAACTCAGACAAATAGATTTAGAACTCGGAATTGAATGAGCCTATGATAACCATTAATTTCATGTTGCAAACTGTGTAACTTACAAAACAGCTACTCCTGCCTGGTGTCTGGGTACAGATCTGTGTTTGAGGAGATTTCAGAGGGAATAACTTCTGGCATCTCTTGAATTGCATTACTTTAAGATCAACTTCCATCAGCTGTCTTGTAGAAGGTAGTTCTCCACCGAGCTGACCCCATCCTGTTTAAATAGAGTGGCAATTTAAAAAAATCAATATCAGATAATATTAACTCGTATCTTTGACTGAGTTATAATCAAAAAGTAGAAAGAAATATTTTTAATTGAAGAGAAAAAAAAATTGTCTATAAATTTGCCATCGTCTAAATTTGCCCCCTTTGACATCCCTGGTTCCAGCTCTTGGTAATGATCTTAAGACTGTGGGGGGTTCCTAAAACCAAATTGAACATGTCCTAGTGGGTTCCAGGCATGCAATTCATGTTATTGATGTCTGAGTGGTTAGATGGATGGATTACAACTCTGATCACTTCCTTAATATTGTGAAATACAAATAAAAAGTACCAGTGAACAGTAGAAAAAATGGATAAAAAATTATTTCTTACAATGTCACTAGAGTTCAGAATGAAGATGTTAGGCAGGCATATGTCAATGATGTTACAAAAAAAACTTTAAAGAAAGCCAAGATAGAACATATTCCAGTATTAGATGGACAAACCTGGAAGTGGCAGTGAAATCTGCTCAAGATATTCTAGGTTTCAGCAAAAGCAAAGACGAGCTTAATGGTGCGATGAAGAATGCATCATGGATGTCGCAGGTAATAAAAGATGCTTGGCTGAATTATTTTAAAAAGAGAACGATACTAGCTTAACATAAATTAAACAGCAAGAGGAAAGCAGTTAGCAAGCTCTAACGGTGTAAGAGATGAGAATATGAAAAGGAGAAATGAAAGCTCATAATATAAAGATAAGAATACACAAAGTTTCTTTAGGGCTGTAAGACATACTAAACAGGAATTTAGGCCAAAACAGGACGACTCCATAAAGGACAAGAATGGTAACATTCTGACCAGCCAGAGAGATGTAATGAGCAAGTGGACTAGGCAGCCTGCTGAACAAGGAGGAAGAAGAGGGTAATGAAAATCTGCAGAATCTTGATATGGATCATCACCTGGAAAATAACAATGGACAGAACACAGAAGCTCTTACCGAAAAGGAAGAGGTTATATAAGTACTACTGAGAATGCAACATCATAAAGTTCCTGTGGTTGACTGTATTCCAGTGGCATTAGTATGGCAGAGATACAATACTCCGTGAGCTGTAAAAAATAATTTGTGGTGTGTGGGTAAGGGAGTATATCTGAATGTTTTACAGATCCTTTATGTCCCATCTACAATAAAAATGATAAACTGTATCGTGATGATTGCAGAGATATCGCCTTCCTCAACATTGTATACAAAGCTCTGTCGTCTTTGATTAGCAGTAGATTGAAGGTACTCATGGAATGAATTGTTGGTGATTAGCAGAGAAGATTTAGGCAAGAAAGGTCGACAACTGACTGCAATTTCGCTTTAAAGAACCTTAAAGAAGTAGAAGAAGAAAAGATGCATTAATTTGACATCACACTGCACCACCTCTTTATAGATGTCTGGCAAATCAATTATGTTGATCGGGTACATCTACTGCATGATTTATTTAGATGTGAAGACCCAAAGAAGATGGTTGCGTATGGTTCTTATGACCATGAGCAGTTGTCAAGACTGGATCATATAATAGGGTGTACTTAGGCAGTGTTTTAGAATCAATCCTGTTGGAACAATCTAAAATAGATTCACACTGGTTCTATGCAGACAATATCCACCTGGTAGTATGGATGCTTCCTGTACCTAATGGGCTATTGGAAGAGCTGGAACGTGAGGCCTATAAAAGACGATCTCAGATAAATAAGACTAAAATGGAGTAAACATGAAAACCAGGGAACAAGGTAAAAAAATTAAGCTACATTTTCCACAAATTATGTCTCTGAAAATTGTATAAATATTTGCTTTAAAACTCACCAGTGAGTTTGACCCACTTATTCTCAATGTTGTATTTGCCAGTAGGCATGCAGAGTGGTCCTACATTGGGGTTGAATTGAAGAGGTTTTGCCAATAGAAGAAGCGCGATGTCATTGACAGTCTTTCCTGCATCGTATTGAGGACCGTAGTATTTCTCATGTTCTATCCACCTCCTCACGGGCACAAACTGACCAGCTGTAAAATGAACAAAGAATAGTTTAATTCTACAAAATCAATACTGTTCTGTGATTTATGTATTGTTATACAAAAATTTGAATGTATTAAGTTCCATTATTCTAGAATAGATCTTATTTTCTGAAAAATATTAATTCACAAAAAGAATTATAACAGAATTGCTTCACAGATTTCATAACTTCATTTATATCATGCAAAACAACAATTTTAGGTACTAAATAACAATTGATATATTTTCCTTACGCTTATTAACGTTAGAAGTTCCAGCAATGATATTGAGTTTTGTACCACTAGGTAAAGTATGGGTGCAGTGAGCGGCTGTTATAGCAACCTTAGTGTTGATGATGGAGGCCCCACACAACACATCTTTAGTATTGCCTTCAACCAACATTACCATCCATGGATACTCATTTGGAAGAGCCTTGGAACCTCCAACGATTCTTCCTTTCTACAATAAATTCTGGTATCAGCATACAGTAACATTAATTGAAATACTTACTTAGTTTTGGATGTGTTTTCGTAAACAACTTTTTAATAGATTATTAAATGTTGGTTACCTTGGACATGCCACAAGGACAGGAAGTTGCTTTAGTACCAGGTTTTGAACCTATGCCAGTCTCATGAGAATTTGCAGCAAGGGCTCCTCCCAAACCCAAGCAAACAACCATTGCACAAGTCCACCGCAACATCTATTTGAAACAGAGTATTTTATTATCTGTTTTCTGGACTTTATACAGCGTCTAAGCGTTAAAAGTGAAGTCAGGTTTCAAAATAAATTGACAGAGAAATTTACTAAAAAGGTTTTTAATTATTCCACTGTTTTAAATGTTGTCATATTTACTTCTATATGGAACATCGTTATTGCTAGAACGCATAATTTCCCTCATATAAGTGGAAAACCGAAAAAAGTGAACTTTTTGAATCGTAAATTCAAATTTTTCAATTTGAAATTCCCAGGTATGGAGTAATTTATGGTCATTACATGTTTTTGGAATGTAAGTACTATAAATCTAAAGGGATGGTAGTTTTACATCTACCGGTTAAATAAAAACGTTGTTAACTTTCAATAATGGTAGTAACAGAAAATCCAACTTATTCCCAGTTCAATATTTTATTTCTCAAATATATTCTATTTTTTATATGTAACAATAAAATGTTCTAATAAAAAAGCTACCATAGCATATTTAATGGTCATTATATTCTTAGAAATTAAATTAACTTGAATCATTAAATAAAATTTGATGAAACTAATATTAGACCATTTGTACTTTTGATCGAATCAAATGTAAAATAGCCACTTTTGAAACATGAATAAACCAAAAAAAACCCTCTGAGCATCCATAAGCAAAAATAATGGATGGCGTTGGATAAAACGGGATACATTGTTTCAGTAATAAACTGCTGTCAAAAGGCTTTGAAAAATGATAGATAGAACAAAATAAATTCGTTTAACTAATGTCTAAAAACTAGAATTCTGTGGAAACTTGCAATTGTGAAGGAATACAAGTTTTCACTTCCCGTACGAATGCGGTATTTCCCCTTTTTAGTGATATAGCAAAATAAAATAATTTTTTATAAGGAGTACATATAAAAATCTACCCAACTATAGACAGGAGTCAAAATTAAATGTTTTCAAAAAATATAAAAATGTGTGTTTTTTTAGCTGACCCACCTAACTTAAAGAATAATATTGAAACTCACCATAGCTTGAGAAGATGGAATCTGAACACATCTAGCGGTTCCCATTGCATTTATATCATTTTAAGGTAAACTATTTATCCAGCACCTGTTAATCAACTATTTTAATAGAGGCAAATAACAAACATTCAATTATTGTCAAGGGGGATTGATAAACAACTTATTATTTTTTTTTTTAAATCTCATACTGTGGAAAAGATATGAATCAGGAGAAAAATAAAAATGAGGTAAAAATAAAAAATAAGCTATGCATAACTTCTGATAGCACACTTTTTAAAGTTTGCAGAAACTTTCAAAATTTTACCTAAACATTTTAACATTTTTCAGCATGAATCCATTATCAGAACCATTAACATCAGCACTTGGAATATATCAGGGGTTCAAGAATAGAACGATATAGGATTAAGGCAGATTTTATTGACATTTTACCAATTATTGGCATTTGTAACTTAAATTTGTTAAAATAAGCGTTTAGGTTCATGTAGGATTTCAAACTTGGTGCCCATTCAAAGGCTGATTAATGTTCCTTAGGGGATGTCATATTTATGGATAATTAAGATATAAGTTGTAGTCAGGATTTTTCCATTTTCACATATTAATAAATTAGAAAATAGGTATTAAAAGGTAAATATTGCTTGCTCATATTTGCTTTTACATTTAACGAGTAATTTTTTTATTTGTACACATAATGAGATCATTAACTGTGTAAGTAAATCTGTGACGTTTTCATCTAGATTAATTTTATTATTTTACTTTTGTCTAGACAGCTTGTTCTTTAATTATACTTATTATAAACTGATGGATTCAAGCGTGAGGGAAAGGTAGGAGCATTTCAGGCTAAGCCTCTCCTCCCCCCCCCTAAAAAAAATTTAAAAATAATCTTTTTTCATTGCTTCATATGTGTTTCCAGAGGTGCCCTTTTCCCCTCTCCCTGCTCAGGGCAATGACGCATGAACGTTCCCATAATATTTTATTTCTCTCAAATTCTTAACTGGTTTGAAACTTTCCATTTAAAAAATTCATAACCCTGCCAAAATGTGTCCATTTCAAAAATGTAATACTCTATCAAACCCCCTTCAGGTCACCTTTGTTTGTTTCTATGTTGATCTGTGACCAATACTCAAACAATCACATATTCTCTTTTTAAATTATCACATGTACTTCATTTACTTAATGTAAACTCGTGTCAAGAAAAAATATATAACAAATGTATTCCTAAAAGTTTCTTTAATTATCATTAATAAAAAAACAAAAATAAACTTAAATCCTCCTTCAAAATTAAATCCTGGGTCCGCTATAACTTTTTGTATAAGCAAGAGATCCGTTACCATAAATTGCAGTTATGTTTTTATGTTCATCTCGAAATATATATAAGGTTTATAAAGTATATAAAGTACAACATGTTCTCAATAATGAAGAAATATCTTATATAATTTTATCCATCAAAAATTAATTTGTAAAACATTAATCAAAAACGCAGAAATGTGAATTATTCTTCAATAAGTGTATTAGAGGGGTCTGGGATCCATCAAATTCAAAAACTTTTTTGGCAGTCAAACCTCAATTTCTGATTTCAAAACGTATTTGATAATGATTTAAAATTTTAGTAAATGTTTTACCTTAATTTTTGCTGTTTGAAATTGTTTTTTAACTCGTATATAAATATATATATATATATATATATATATATATATATATATATATATATATATATATATTAATTTACAGTGATATATATGTTAAATAATAATCTCAATATGTTTACAGAATTTATTATTATTTTAAAAAAAAATCATATATGAATTTCATGTTTTGTTTATTAATTGGTTAATTTGAAAATAAAAAAAGAATAACTTAAAATATATAAATTTATGTGCATATCATCTTTTTTATGAGATACTTCACAACATTTTTAAAACATTGCAATAATATATTACTTACAGATAATGGTGCAATCTAAATACCTAAGTCAAAAAACCTTATTTGACTGAATGGTAACCTTGATCATGTTTAATAGTTACAGAAAACTTCAGTCATTTTCTATTCATTAAATAAAAAGGACAAGATTTATTCAATGTTAAGACTTTTGATAGATTACAATCACATTTTATATTTTAATATTGCTTAGTTTATAATCAATGGTTTATATATTGATTATTATCAAATAAAGTAAACAATAGTATTTACTTGGTTTAATAAAAGCAATTGATTGACTTCAATAACATCTTTATTTATATGCAAAATTTTCAAGCCTCAAAAAAGAAGCAAAGTTTTGGTTCAGGCTCTTAAAACGGAAGTACTTCTCTTGCCGGCGACCAACCTTTTGACATCCAAAGCTGAAAACAAAATTGTATTTATTTTTCAAATGTTTTGACTTGAGATACAAAAAATGTACAACTTACAAGTCTTCCAGTGGCTTTTATAAATATACTAACCCAAGACATTTAGGCAAACAGACTGCTTGAAAAATATTGGAAAAATACAATAAAATGTACATGCCTGCAGGAAAGGAGGTTTAAGTAGAAGTTCCTTTACAAAACTAACTGAGCACACTCAAAATCAATAAAAGACATCAATACGGTTGATGCTACCAACTGTCACTCCTTATAAAATTTACATTCACAATTATTTGGTTGTAAGTATTATATAAATGTCAATTTTTCAGGATAAAAATTAATGACAAAGGCATAGCTATCTGATTTTTTAAATTATTCAAAATAGATTCCTTGGCCTCTATTGTGGATATATTGTTATTATGATAAAAATAGGGTTCAATCAAGAGATAAGAGACAAAGATTATTACTTACATATAAATATTTTAATGATTCTGGATTTTCATATTAATGATAATACAGTTTTTAAACATGACATGATTGATACTAACCTCTTGAAATTTTTGATAATGCATATCAAAAAAAAAAAAAAAATATTCAAGCAAACATATAGTATTAATTTAGAAGTACATGTTTTGTTCTTTTGTTTGTATATCGGTTAAGTGATATTTTACATTAATTGTCAATATACTTTGTCAGACAGTATTCAGAAGCTAAGGTTTAGTTAGTTTAGTCAAAATATAATTTAGTTTGAAGAGAAATTGGTTGGAGTGTTCATTAAAAAATAAATAAATGATATTTATTTTTATATTTGTCGACATTTCGGCCCATAGTTCAGGCCTTTATCAGAGCTAAGAAAAGACCGGATAACAACATGAGGAACTATTATCTTATGAAAAAATAAATAAAAAATAATATTAATAATGATAATGTATACACACGATAACTGACAACTATATCTAGAACGATCTGGGATCAGAGTACTAACACATGGAGAAGAAACACCAATAAAGAACTGCTTATAGAAACTGGTCAATCAATATCCTATCATATTAAAGCCAAGTTGGAGGTCAAGATGGGTGGGGCATGTAGCTCGTAGTAATCCATCTGGAAGCCTCTATGTAACAATGAATGTCTCAATAGAAGGCAAAAGACCATGTTGAAGGCCAAAAATCAGATGGATAGATAGAATAAACAAAGATGTATAGAGCTTTGTGCAGATAAATGGAATGAAACAGCCCAATACAGGCAGAGATAAAGCAGGCTTGTTAAGGCGGCAAAAGATCTACATGATGTGTTATGCCAACAGCAAAAAAAAAAAAAATAATAATGTAAGGAAAATATGAAAAAAATTAATTAATTAAAAATTTCATTCGTCCCCCATCTTACTTTATTTAAACAAGTAAACTAGTTTATTTCATTAGTCCCCAACTTTGTTACCGTTATTATTCGTTTTATAAGCTCCTCTCTGTTACTGTTATTACTTCCTCTCTATTACTGTTATTATTTATTTCATAGCTTCCTCTCTGTTACTAGTATTAATATTTGTTTTCATATGTTCCTTACATTGTTATTATTAATATTATTTTTTATTTATTTATTTACTTTTTTTTTTGTAAGTTAATAGTTTCTCATACTGTTATCTTGTGTTTGCTTAACCCTGATGAAGGCCTGAACTTTGAGCTGAAACTTTGGCAAATATAAAAATAAATATCTTTTTTTATTATTAATCTTTTTTTTTTTATTTTACTGAACACTCTAATAAACTTCTTTTCAATTATTCCCTACAGTCAACCATAAATACACTATTATAATTTAGTTTGTACATAAAATATTTTCTTTTTTATTAAGCTGTAAATTATCCTTTCTGGCATACGTTATGACCATACCTCTTCTACCAGGGAGAAGTACCTCTTCTACCAGTCCTTGGGTCTGCCATGAAATAAATTTCAATCCATCCAGGATGGATTCGAACTGGCAACACCAGACTCCAGAATGTTAAAGCAGGCAATGCCTCAACAACCTCAACCATCATTACCTCATATATAGATGAATTGCTGTACTGTGGGAAGATTTAGTTTTTAGAATATGTTTATATTTTTTTTGTGTATGGTTTGATCAAGATAATTAATATAATTATGTTCCATCTAGATTATTTTCGAATGTTTATAATAATTTATTTACAAAACTGTACAGTCATACACATGCATACTTTTTTTCCATAGTAACAAGCTAGTTTTGACCATAATTATATTTAATAATTAATGCCTGTACTCACAATTGATTTTCGATTTGATCCAAGGAAGAAAGGCTGATACTTCTGTCATGACAGTAGGTACATCTGGGTCACATCTTCCACTGCCAAAAGAGATAAGGCCAACCAAAGTGTACCTGTTGGTTTCAGGGTCCAAATAAGTAGCTGGACCACCAGAATCACCCTAAAAATAAATGTTTTTTATTATTTAAATAAAAATAATTTATTAATCTTGCCTATAAACATGTAAAATTGTTACATACGACTTTTTGCACTGACAGTAGCCAAATTTTTGATTGCCGTCTAATATATTATATTTGTTTTGTTTTTTTGTCAGTAACCATTTCATTTTACGACTGTATATTTCAATTATTAATTTGATTAAAGTAAACAAGTAATTGCTACGAAATATTTTTAGTTCGAGAAGAGTGCCACCGATAAAGAAGGCCATCTGATGAATATATATTTATTTATATTTAATTGTGGCTATTTTTATTTGTTTAAGCAGTGCTGGCCTTAGACATTCAGCAACCCCGGACAATGATGTCATCTCTTCTCCCTAAAAAATTAAATTTATTTCTTAAGCTGTTTTATATTATGTAATATTTGAATTTCGTTTCATTCAATATTTTTCTAATACAGTTACTTTATTTTTAGGGCAAAATTAATTATTGAATACATTTTGTCTAGTTTTTAAAAGTTGGTTGGCCTAAGGCAGGCATTGTGTTGATATATATACTGGTATATATATCAACACAGTGTCTGCCTATAGGCCAACCAATTTTTAAAAAATAGACAAAATGTATTCAATAATTAATTTTGCCAAAAAAAAAATAAAAATAAATAATATAGTATATATCTACTAGAAGAGATAAACGATTGGACATCCCCTTAGAATAACAATAATGTACAGTTACAACAGAAAAAATACACATCTGGCCAAAAACTAACTTAATAAAGATTCAAACAATATATATATATAATATTGAGTCTGTAGTATAATAAGCATGTGTTACCTGTGGCCAAGCTCGAGCTCGCTCTTATTTCTTCAGTACCTCAATTACTACTAATCTCTGTTACGATTCCTTATTTCTCCTTTAATTAGTTATCAAATTTTTTCATAGTTTATATTTAACCATTTTTTATGCCAGGTTACTATTTCAAATAGTTAATTATTTCAAATAAAAAAATTAAAGGTACTTAAGATGAAGAAATTTTGAAAATTAGGCTTTTAACCACTGTTAGAGAACATAAATAAGAATAAAACCTACATTATATTTAAAGGTGTTTAATTTTACACTGATGTAATGATTTTAATCAAAATCTTTGAAGCTGTTTTTTAGAAAATGTGTTAAATCAATGAAATAAAGTGCCACTTGCGGTTAGCCGATTTTTACAAAAAAAAAGTTACTGTTAAATCCTAAGTAATATAAAAAAAATATCAAAGTATAATATAATGTCATATAATGTATAATATAATGTACAAAGTCGTAAAATACAATAAAATATAAAAATGTAGAGTACCCAAATAATTATAAATAATTTCTGAAAATTAATATTATTTAACGGAAACCAAAAGTTTCCATGTAAACTAAATGAAATTCTCTAACTAAATGCAAATTTGAAAATTAATTTTAAGTTTGAAAAATATTTCATGGATAAGTAAAACATAATAATAGTTATAGACACATAATGTTTATAACGTTAAATACATTTACTGAAGATTATTAGGTCCAATAATATATTTGAATAATCGGGTATATATTGTTGGTTAATTCCAAAAAATCATTTGTGAATAATTTGAAATTTTTCTCATTGTGAAATTACAACATTCTTTCATACTTTTGAACTTGTTTGTTATAACTCACCCTACAGCCTCCCCTGTCTGATGCTTGGACACAAATCTGTGTTTGAGGAGTTTTCAGAGGAAACATCCTTTGACAAATCTTGAATGGTATCACTTGAACATCAGTTTCCATCAATTGCTTGGTGGAAGGTTGGTCTCCTCTGAGTCTACCCCATCCTGTTTAAATAGAGTTGGAATTTAAATATTGATGTAAAAAAGAAATTAACATTAGTTTTGTGGATCCCTTGTCAACAAAGATTTGAGTCATAGTACTTATTCTGAATGCTAATGGTGCAAGTTGGGCTTATGACCTTAAATTTGTTGAAAGTTCTTAAGATTCGAAATTTGATTAGGAAGTGTTAAAGTTAGCATGAAAGAATCTATAACACAAACTTAGTATTTTTTTTAAAGTGTTAAAATAAATTAATATGCTCATGAATTAAAGTAAAACATAATTTGATTGGCAGTAATTTTCATATGAATCCATAAATAGTATTATTGACTTTTAAGGGAAGAAATTTGTATAAGTAAAGAATTTATGTCTTAATTTTCAACTGTTTAAAGAAAGGCAATTCATTTATCTGATAGGCCCTACAGTAACTTTATTCTGAAATGAACTATTGTGGTGTTTGAAAGGAAAAACTCGGAGATTCTAAAATTCAGGTATTCTAAAATTATATTTAGTCAAGGAGGACTACTATACATTCAATGTTGAAAAGTAGATGAATGTTCAAATTTCATATTATGGTCTCTAGATTGACAAGGAGCTAATGAAATTCGAGCTTATGTCTTATAAGTACTGGGTAGGAGCCTTTTTGGCAGATGTATGGAATGACCTCATCCCTACCTTGACCGTGTAATATATTAAATAACTGAGAAATAAATCATTAGATTCACTGACTTTGGAGCAGGCCACAGTCATCCAAAGCATCCTTTCTCCCTGAGTTATATTCTGATCATGAAATAAAATAAATTTACTTAATTCAAAGCACAAAGTCTTAACAACTAAGTCAAACTTCAGTATATCTATGTTCATCGTACCTAGTTTTGCTGAAATATATTAAGTTCATTTGAATGTTTTTAATTCAGTTATAAATTACATACAACATTTAGTTTTGAATTACATCCCTATATGTTGTATTGTAATGTCAGTGTTTCTTGGAATATGTCTTAAAATAAGAAAATTGTATAAATATGTTCATTGAAGCTCACCAGTTAGTTTTACCCACTGATTCTCGATGTTGTATTTGCCAGTAGGAAGACAGACTGGTCCTACATTGGGATTGAATTGAAGAGGACTTCCTAACAGGAGAAGAGAGATGTCATTGATAGTCCTCACCGGATAATATTGATGAGTATAAAATTCCTCGTGCACTATCCAACTGCTCATGGGTACAATTTGACCAGCTGTAAATAAAATAAGGAATACTTTAGTTCTATAAAATCAATAATATTCAGTAATGATGTAGTATCGTATAAAATTAAAATGTATTACTATTTTATTATTGCATTATTCTAAGATGTCTTATTTTCTGAAAATATCAATTTACAAAGGGTTTGCACAGAATTTCCTCCCAGATTTCTTCATTCTATTATCTATTATGCAAAACAGTAGTTTTTTAATAAAATAATAATTAATATATATTTGGCTTACGTTTGTTAACATCTGAAGTTCCGGCAATGATATTGAGTTTTGTATCACTAGGCAAAGTATGGGTGCAGTGAGCGGCTGTTATGGCTACCTTAGTGTTGATGATGGAAGCTCCACACATTACATCTCTACTATCACCTTTAACCAACATTACCATCCATGGATACTCATTTGGCAGAGCCATGGTCCCTCCAACGATTCTTCCTTTCTAAAATATTAACATTAACTTAAACATTTAGGTGCTAAGTGTTGGTTACACTTTTTAATAGAATATTAAATATTGGTTACCTTGGACATGCCACAAGGACAAGATGTTGCCTTAGGACCAGGTTTACAACCTATGCCAGTCTCATGAGAATTTGCCGCAAATGTTCCTCCCAATCCCAAGCAAGCAACCAGTACACGAATCCACCGCAACATCTGTTTGGAACAAAATATTTCATTATCTATGTCCTAAAAAGATATCAGGTTTGAAAATGAATTAGCAAATAAATTATCACAAACAAACTACTCTGAACGATAACTTTTCTTTCAACTCCATCTATGAGTCCATAATCAAATGCATTAATGTTTAGTAATAGACAGTTGATTCTATGTGAGTTTAGACTTATATATTAGGACAAAGGAAGTTACAACACAGTACAAGAAGTATAGAAAAAGAAAATATGGTAATTTAACAAAAGTTTGTTTGATTGTAATGTTTTGATCCTTTTAATGTCCTATAAAAGGGAGATCAGAAACTCCAATGTTTCACAGTCCTTTACTTTAAATAAAAAACATAAAGTTCAATAAATCGTATAGAAAATAATTATATTACCAGTAGCCTGTGCGAATAAGTCACATTTTATATTGATAAGTGAACTAATGTCAATAAAATATGGAAATAAGTTAATTAGATTATTTTTAATAAATAATAAGCGAGGAATTGATTTTGTTATCCTTGGTTGATTACAACTGTTCATTCCAAATAATAAATTAAAATACGTGTACAAAACAGGCTTTGTATCTTTGCAAAATACATTTAGCAGTGTTGTTATCAAAATTGTCCGATTTAATGATTTTTTTTTTTTCGTTTTATGACGAATTTGTAATGCTATATATCATCATTAATTATACAAGTTTTTAGTTATGCTCAAATAAAGTTTCCTTTTCTTCATAATTTTTTTCTTGGTGTTTCTGGAAAATTAACTAACTCTTCGGTCCTGAAGGTAATAATCTTCAAAGTAATGGTTTTAAGCCAATATATACTCAGTATAGATGCACAAGCAATCCACCAACCACAGGCGGATCTACGAGGAGGGTGGAGGGCTTTCGGGCTGATTTCTTGAATTTTTTCCTAACTCTTAATAATGAGAGAGAGTTATTTATTTAAATAAATCTACTTTAGAGGAAGACGCATATGAACATTGGGCATTTAAATCCTGTAAAGTGGCATCAACGAGGATAAGACCTAAATGATATTAAAGACCACTTAATTATACAATGATACACCGATTTTAATAAAAATCTTTAGAGCCGTTTTTGAGAAAATTGAAAAAATGTGTTTCACCGTTGATATAAAGTGGCACTTCCGGTTAGCCGATTTTTAGGGAAAAGTTGCTGTGGCATCTAAGGCATATACCTATCTTAAATACGTAATTTTTAGACCAAAAAAGTTTATTTAGTCTTATTCAGTCTTTAAAGATAATTCGTTCAATAGTTTCTGTATTACGTTTTGGTAATCTTGTTTCTTATCTTTAAAAAAACATTTTCCTTTTTGAAATATTGACATTAAAAAGAAAATAACGGTGTGAGCTCAGCGCTGAATTAAGGAACTTGCCCTGTTGTTAAAAACTACAAATGTTTTTAAAAATTATTATAATTTTACCATCTTACAAATATTAATATTCATGTATCATTTTATTAATAGATATTACATCGATTGTTACACAACTATAAGTTAAATTTATATTCTTGACTAATTATATTTTTTTTTTAATCTTTAAAGATACGATTTTTATGCAGTTCTACGATTTTCAAGAACCATGAGTACAAGGATTTATAATATTTTAAAGAAATTATGATATAAGTACTTATTATTGAGGGGTGGTAACACTGGCATACTGCATCGCCACCTCAGTCTGTCAGCTGTGTACCGATGCGCTTCGTAACAATCATAGTAATTCCGATATAACTCAAGTGTATTGCTGTTAATAAGAACTTAAGAATTTACAAATCTTTGAAAAAGTAACGAGACATCTTCTCAGTTATTACAAAATAAGGTAATAGCGAAATTAATAAATGTTTATTTTTTAAATTAACCATACTTCAATGAATGAAATTATAAAACTAATTGAATGTACATAAATATTTAACAATCCTTCTATGATCTATTAGAAGAGAGAATAAATGCAAATTAAAATATTCTTTAAGAAATCATTGTTTAAACTTTGAAATCGACGTGTCTGTGCAAGTTTGAAAATTGTACTTTGCCATCCCACTGAAGTCGGTTACGAACCAATGCATTTCGTAATAATGAAATTTATTTATCATTCGTTATTATTTATTTATTTTTTGTTCGTTTTGAAAAATGTTAATCGTAACTCCTAATGAATTACTACATTTAAACTATTTGAGAAAGAAACACAAATGTTTCTGTGCGTTTTAGAAATAAGTTACTAATAAAAATTACAAATAAATTATTTTTTATTATTGAAAGTTCGATTAACCAATTCTTAATATACATATATACCTGTTTACATATGTAAACATAACTTCAAGCATGTACAAAAATATTTAACAATTGTCTATGACGCGAATAAAAAAATTAAAGTTCGTTTTATTTTTTACAGTATGTTTCTATACTGCACTACTCAGATCATTAAAGTGCCATATTTCATGTACTTTTGTTAGTATTTGCTAAAGGTTTTAGGTTTGTAGCTACGTACATTTTCTATTTATTTTATTTTCTCTATATATGTGGCGTAAAACTGCATCTACAAATAAATCATCATTTTTAAACTATTTGAGAAAGAAATTTAAATGGTTTTCTTGTGTTTGAAAATTAGATACATTTTAAAATTTTGAATAAGTGTTACTGCCTATTAAGTTAATAAATTATTGATATTTCTATGTAGAATCATGGAAGTAAATGTTAAACGATAGTCCTGTTGTGTTAAAAATAGATAAATTTATTTTAACTCGACTGTAAGTAATTTGTACTTCGTACGCTACGTGGCTGTGCCAATTAGAACCTGCTACTTCGAAGTGTAGTTCCAGCTCCGTGAAGACGATGTTTTCAATTATCATTGCAGTTTCCCTATGTACGATTTAACTGCATCAATAAATCGTGAATATAAAATATTTAAGAAAGCATTGGATAATTTATACTCCATTTAGAAATAAGGTACTGTTCAAATTATTTTTTCAAAAATCTCTGCTTCTTAAATTAACCGATTCTTAATTTATGCACTACAATCATGGATATGAATATTTAATTACTGTTCTATTATTTTTAAAAATAAATGAATTTCTAAATTTTAATATAACCCACTACTTTGAACATTGGACCCTACATCCTGTACTTCGACCTCAGTCTAGTCGCAGTTCTATAACGACGCACTTCGCAGTAATTGTTATAGCTCTTTGATACACCAGAAGTTCAACTGCATCTACTAATGAATAGTGATTTTTAAACTATTAAAGAAAGTAATGGAAAAGTTACGGTGCAATTCAGAAATAAGATACTGTTCAAATTATAAATAAAATAAATACTACTGCTTGCTAAATTAACCGATTCTTAATTTATATTGTATAAGCATTGACATAAATATTTGATAATTGTCCAATTATATTAAAAAATAACTAAATTTCTTTATTTTCTTATATACACACTACTTTAAACATGGTACACTTGTACATACTTCTCTCCCAGTCTAGTCGCAATTCTGTTATAATTGTTATAGCTCTTTTATAAATCAAAAGTTCAACTGCACCTACAAATGAATATCAACTTTTTAACTATTCAAGCAAGTAATGAAAATTTACTCTGCAATTTTGGAATAAGGTACTTCTCAAATTACAAAATAAATATTAATGCTTGTTAAATTAACCAAATCTTCATATATGCACTACAGGGATGAACATAAATATTTAATAATTGTCCAATTATGTTAGCAAATAATTAAATTTTGATATAGTCCCACTATTCTGAACATTGGACCTTATCGTCCGTGGTACAGAACCCTTTTAATCGAATCATTAACGTTCACCTGAAACTTCGTAAATAGTTTCATATCATAGTAGCCTACAACTATTTATATTCACAAAAACTCTTGGAATTGGGGCGTTTTCAATCTGGAGAGGTGCAAACTTTGTGTATTCAATTAGGTACTAAAAACTCGTAAAATACACATTTGCTTTTTGCATATCATATATCAAACATTCAATTATTGATTAGGGTCAATAATTGAATCAATGAAAAACTTTTTTTTTCAAATCCTAACAATGTAGAGAACATACGAATTAGGGAAATAAAAATATGAAAAACGTGGATCAAATCTATTTTTAACCTCTCATCACGTATACGTTGTAGTAACGTTTGCGGAAATATGCAAAGTACAAGTACTATTTATTGTGGACATTTCGTTTCGTTTCCCTCAAATAATAAAAATTATTATTCATGATTCCGTCATCATTCTCTCTCACCTTCTTGTTTTTCTTAAAAGCTTCACCATTAAAATGGTATATTATGCATTTATGCTATTGATCTAATTTACGAGAATTTATTTTCGACGTGAGAAAATGGATCTCCTTTTTTTCTCCTTTTGTTATTTATCAAATTATTTCATAGTTCATACTCACAGCCATGCACGCGCGCACAAATACACACATATTTGCATTCAATTTGATGAAACAGCTGCAAGAATTTGTAAAAGAGAAAGAGGAGACAGTCACTCCGGAAAACCTACTCGCTCAGGTGAGGACTTTTAGGAGATCCTGGAGAGCTGTTGCAGCATACGCAGAATTGCTAGGAATAAAGCTCAGATAAAAGGAGCGAGAAACGATAGGTCAGACATAAAAATAACATAGCCATAATAAGAAACCTTTCCAAGTGGACATATAGCCATTCTGCACCCTTCCCCAACGTAGTAATAAATGATCTCGGTTCCATGACGTGGTAATGAAGAAAAGGGAGGGGCAGTTTTGTATTTTGAGTAAAAATCAAACACTCTTGTGGACTTGTAATCCCACATCGTCATATTATAAAAACAAATATAATAAAATTGGTAGGATAAGGTGGGAGCGGGATGGTGTAAATACTGTAACGTGTGCAAAATACGTATTGCCTGATAACCTGATAAACCCAAGATTACGAGATCAAATCTTGGTACCAGGGGGCTGTTCTATGAACTCCGCCATCCAACTCTCATTAACTTCGCCCTTTCCCCTGGCTAGAGAAAAAACTCTTATAGCCTAAAGAAAGAGGAAGAGGAGAAGAAAAACAAAATTAGTTAGATAAAGTAAAAAGGAAATAGCCAGACAACCTGATAAACTGAAGTTTACATCATAAAATAATTACAAGTTTGCGTCCTGGTATTGGGTGGCCTTTACACTCAGGCATTAATCTTGTGGCCCAGGAAACATCCCGTATACCTACTCCTGCCCTAAATATTGTTACAAGGAAATATGTACAGATTTCAACAGAAAAATTATTTTTTTCAAAAACTTTATTAGATATTAAAATGTACATCTATAGAGAGTAAAACGAAAAAGAAATTACTCAAAATGTTCCCCTTTTGCCTTGACACAGGCATTTAATCTCCGTGACCAGTCATCAATAGCAGCATGCAGCACTTCTTGAGGAAAGCGCTCAACTTCTCGGACCAGTGATTGTCTGAGGCTTTCCAAGTTAAGGTGTGCTCTGCAGCATGCTGTCCTCTCCAGTTCAGACCAAAGCCAATAATCTAGTGGGTTGAGATCAGGGCTTCCTGAGGGACAATACGAGGCAGAGATGAACTCTGGAATGTTCTTTTGCAGCGACTGCTGGGTTGATCTGGCCTTGTGAGCTGGAGCGGAAACCTGCTGGAAAACCCAATGACTTCCAGCAAACAGAGTAAACCTTTTGAGGTTTGAAAATTGGTTCCAGAATATCGTCCTGATAGTTTTTACCGACTGTTTTAACATCTTTTTTTCACAAAAATGGAGCTTTGTGGTGCCATCAAAGCAAACTCACCACCAAACCATCACAGAGGAAGGATGATGACTCCTTTTCACTCTTCCTGGGCTTTTTTTTATGTTTTAGTCTTTTTAATGAGAAATAATACACACTTTGCCACAGTTAAGGGTACTGAGTATTATAGCTGAGTAAGGCACATTCATACCATATATCCAATACAATAAAAATAAATAAATATGTATCTATATAACAATGGCAAAAATCATAAAAGCAAAGAAATGTAACGAAATCAAATCGAAGTCTAGGTGCTAAGTCAATAAACCTTGTTTGACTGAATTATCAACCTCGACAAATTTATATTGATTATAATCACATTTTATATTTATATTGCTTAGTTTATAATCAATGGTTTTATAAAATAAACAATAGTATTTACTGGGTTTTATAAAAACTAATATTATTCAATTAACTCTTTATTTTTTTGTATTTACATGAACAACATTCAAACCATAAAAAACAAGTAAAGGTTTGGTTTAGCCTCCTAAAACTATGTCACGGAAGTTGTTCCTTTTCCTGCGACTAACCTTTTGACATCCAAGAGCTGTAAAAAAAAAATTATTTATTTTTTAAGTGCTTTATTTGAAATAAGAATGTATTATATGAAAAACTTAAAAAATATGTTATATCGAATTATATAAATTGTAATATACACCTTTATTGGAAGTGGGTAAAAAGGGTTTAATAAATCAATGTTGAACAGTTAAAAGGCAAGCTAATTTATTTCCACTAGTTCAGGGAAAAGAAAATGGCTACTCTGTAGTTTCCCCAGAAAGGAAAATCGCAAAGAGGTGAGGGGACAAAAGATATTGTTTTGGCAAGCAGTTGTTGTTTTTGGTTGCAGTAAAGAAGGGATAGAAGGGATCCTGGCTCCAGTGGGTAAAACCCAGTAATAGTATTACTATCTTGGAAGTTGTTGTTTGGCAGAGAGACTAGTTGCCAAGCGAGACGATCTCCCAGGGAGTTTAAGTTGAGTTGATAAATGTGTTACCATTTTGGAAGATGTGTTTGGCAGAACATAGGAAAATGTTAGAAGTCAAATGAATTTAGTACACCATAAGGAAGGAACAGTATCTAAAGAAAAAAGGTTAGCTTGTCAATCCATAATTAGCTTGAATTTAAAATCAAACAGTGTTCAGTGTGAATAATTATAGTCTATCTGTGTCTTTTGATCTGATTGTCAGTAACCCATACCTGAGATAAAATAATTATAAATTTCAGTATATTATTATTTTATATTAAAGTTTATATTAATACTCTTATAATTTTGTTTATTATTTAATAACCTCTTATTTATTTAGGATCTATCCCAACAGTATAAGTTATCTTCCACAAGCTCATATTTGTAAAATATATTAACACAAGAAATTTCAGCAAACAAACTGATTGAAAAACATTTAAAAAATATAATAAGATTTATTTGGAGGGAGGAAAGGAGATTTAAATATAAATTACCCAACAAACGTTACAGAACGAACTCAAAGTCAATAAAAGGAATAAATGCAGTTGATGCAACCAACTTTCAATGCTAACAAAGATTAAATTTAGTTTAGTTTATGTTTTACATAAAATGTGATTTTTCAGGATCAACATAAATAAAATAGATATATTTGATTTTATTAATTATTCAAAATAGATTGGTTTCTTATGGGGACCTACTAAATAAAATAAAATAAAATTGAGTTTCAATCAAGAAAATTACTATATCTATGTCCCATATAAGTTATTTTCAAATATTTAAAGTAATTTACTTACCAAGCTTAACTACTATATGTACGTGCATATTTTAAAAGGAAAATTCAATTGGTATTTTTCAATAAATTTAATTTGCAAAAATGAAATGACCGTAATCCGATAATAGAACTTTCTTTTGTTTCTTAGTTGATGTATTGATATTTCTTCAAAAGTGATAAACTAGTTTTGACTATAATTATATTTAATAAGTAAAGCCTGTACTCACTATTGATCTTTGATTTAATCCAGGGAAGGAAGGCTGATACTTCTGTCAAGACAGTTGGTACATTTGGATCACAATTTCCGCTGCCGAAGGAGACAAGACCAACCAAGGTGTACCTGTTGGTTTCAGGGTCCAAGTAAGTCAGTGGACCACCAGAGTCACCCTGAAAATAAATGTTATTTTTATTTGCTTGTACCGGTGGGGAGACTCATCATTCAAGTGGATCTATTGGTCTTTTTTACCAACTCTAAAAATAATATCAACCCAAACCCAAATGCCTGAATCTAAGCGACGCAGATCGGTTACATTCAGTTATTATTGTTATTTTAATAAAAATAATTATTATTTTTTCAATCACTAATTCTGTATTATCAACACAATATTATGAAGATGGTGCCATAAGAGGATACTTGTGTTTAATTCCCAATGATTATGTTTCAGTAAAGACTAGTTTAGTTAGAAGGAGATGAGGCACAGAATGTGAACGTCCTAATTCTGTTTGGTTGTATATTGTTAAAAAGTTTTCAGCTTTAAAACTTTCAACCAAGAACTATCTTTTAGGATTTTTTTCTCTGTTGTACGAATATAAAAATATTTAGTTTAAAATGAGTTTTATAGACATTTATAAATAAATTACATAAGCTAGCTATATAAATACAGAATCAGCACACCACACAGTCACACTGTTATTTCAATTTATTGGCTAAATATGAACTTTTCCCTTTATTTGAGTCACAATCTAATATATGTGGTTTATCACAGGATTTGTATTGCAACTCAGTTTTTTTTTTATATAAGTACCCCATGTACGATCTTTAACAGATCAAATGCTCAGTTAAATATGTAGTTAAACTAACGGATCAGAAGCTCAATCGAATAATAATTTGGAATAGTGTTAACCAATAATAATTCAAATAGGTGAAATTACACAGTCAGTTGGGTCTATAAACTTTAAAATGTGGCTTTATAGCTTTAAAGTGAGAGTTTACAGACAAAACATGCAACCAAAGAAAAAAGCTTTAAGACATTTTTATATGTAGTATTCTCCGATTAGTTGAATGTAAATCATTTTAGATAGATTCCCTATTCATAGTTGCTTTTGTAAATTTAAAAGCTAGTTGTAATTTTATGAAATTTTGAAACATCAAAATGTCTTAGATTTTTAAAAAAATCATTATCAAGCAATAGTTTTTTTTTTTTTTTTTTTTTTTCTGACCCCTCAGAAACTTTATTTAATATTACTTACAACATACATCTATGAATGTATATATATATACATTATTCCTTGACCTTTGCTTACCCAAGGGTATTTTAAGGTAAATGACAGTTTATGCCGTAAGCATAGGATACTTTCTGTGGCCTTAGGCCTTAATTTCATCACCGGGCGTGGAGGGACCACCCTCAAGCAATAGTTTTGGAGAGTTCTGATATTTAAATAAAATCTAATTCAGAGCCGGCCTTAGACATTCGGCGCGCCTGGGCAATGATCCTATCACCCCCACTCTAAAAAAAGTTTATTTCTTAAGCTGTTTTATACTATGTAATATTTGAATTTTATTTAATTCAAAATTTCTCTAACACAGTTGCTTTACTGATGGGCTAAAATAAAGTATTTTAATAAATTTTCTATTTTTTTTTTTTTATTTCTAACAATTGGTGAACCCCTGAAGATTCGATGGGTCCCCTTCATGGTCGGCACTGATCTAATTGATTCATATTTACTATACACGTTCATCCTCATAAATTTTATGTGTTTCAAACTATGTAACTCACCATACAGCCTCCCCTGCCTGGAGCCTGGACACATATCTGTGTTTGGGGAGCTTTCAGAGGGAACAACCTTTGGCAGGTCCTGAATGGCAGCATTTTGACATCTGTTTCCCTCAGCTGTTTGGTGGCGGGAAGGTAGCCTCCAAGTTTACCCCAACCTGTTTAAATTGAACATCATTTTATAATTTACTTAAGAAAAATCAATTTTATTTACGAAAACTCTTAGAATTGGGGCATTTTCAATCTGGAGGGAACAAACTTTGTCTAATTCATTACGTACTAAAAACTCATTTGCTTCCTACTTGGATTGTAAGATAATTTGATTACAAAAGCGAGAAAAAAGGTGGCCTTTAAAAATATTGAGCTGTTGAGGCGTGACCTACAATCACAAATTTCCAAAATAACGAGGTTATATAGGACAAATGGCCCAATATTTTTGTAGGCTACCCTTTTTATTGATTTGGTGATCTAATAATCCTACGATCAAAGTAGAAAGCAAATGGGTATTTACGAGTTTTTAGTACCTAATTAAATAGACAAAGTTTGTCCCTCTTCAGATTGAAAACACCCCAATTCCAAGAGTTTTCGTAAATAAAATTGTTGTAGGTTATGATGAGATGAAACTATTTACGAAGTTTCAAGCGGATGTTAATAATTCGATAAAAAGGCGTCTCTATCACGGACTGTAACTTTGAATATCGTTTTCCAAATCTCTGATGTTGGCCATTCGGAAAGATATGATGCGATGCAGTGGCTGTTTTAGCGTCTGATGGAAGGGGCACCGAAAGTAAATATTTTGAAAATGAAACTGAAAAATCATCCATGAAATAATGGAACAGACCAGAAAACGAAATTTTAAATTTATCAGTTATAACCAGAATTTATCATTTATATTTTCTGAGGGACACCAAAAATTTTACAGTTTATGGCTCCATTTGTTAACCCCTGATGAGATACAGGAGCGGTGGGTCCCAACATAAATGATCACGAATTAATCGTGGTGATTGCGTACATTACAATGAAGACTACACACAGTAGTTTGTATTGCTGAAAACCTTTTTACCCCCCTAAAAGACGACAATTATAGCTTTGAATTACGAAAAGCGAGCGAAACATCTTGGGTCTTGCAGTTCGATCCATAAAAATTTTTAGGTGCCGGATGTCAGATTGTTATTTAAACCACTTACATATAAGAAAGGAAAAATGATTCGGTATCCGTTCAACCGTTTTTCTTGAAAAGCCAAAGGTGACCAGCTTTTGGCGGGACAGTCCCGAATTTTTAAACATTTGTCCCGCGCCCCGCGTCATTTTAAATAAGTCCAGATTTTCGGATAAAATGAACGACTAACTAGAGAACGGAAAGAGAATAAACGATTTTCGGCTGTCATGTGGCTATTTCACCCAAATATGAGTTTTATATCAATTTTATAATGTTAAACTTTATATAATAACTTCTATAATGACGAATAATTCTGGAGAACTACTTATGGAGAACTGCTTAGCAAACTTCGCATTGTTGATCAGTTGTTAGAATTCCACCACCATTGTTTTGACTTTATAAACTACCCCAAAATGCTCTTTTCAATAAGGTATCGTTATTAAAAAATATTTTGATAAAGAAAAGGTTAAAATTAATTATTGTAAAACAACAAATTTGGACTCTTCGCCCTCTTCCCTCCCGGTTAATGGTGTCTCGCTTTGTGAATGTTAAAATCTGGCCACCTTAGAAAAATCTGACCACCAGAGATGACAACTTAATCGTATTATTTTATTTATAAGACAAGTTGTAATTTTTGATTGGTGTCTGTATTTCTTGAATTATATCTAAGTATCTCGTGGACATTGCATAAGTTTGTTCTTTAATACTAACCAGTTAATTTGACCCACTGATTATCAATGTTGTATTTGCCGGTAGGCATGCAGATTGGTCCTACGTTGGGGTTGAATTTAAGAGGACTTGCTAACTGCAGAAGACAGATGTCATTGACAGTCTTCGACGCATCATCTTCAGGACCATCGTATTTCTCGTGCTCTATCCACCTGCTCACGGGCACAACCTGACCAGCTGAAAAAAAAAAAAAGAAACATGCTACATTAGTTGTACAAAATCAATATCCTTCCGTGAATGGTGTAATATCTTACAACGCTAGGAAGTATGGTACTAGTTCCCTTTCGCTAGCCCATGGCACCTGCCGGTTTCAAGATCATTTAGAATACGGCTATTTTTTGATTTCCGAAGAATGCCGAAAGTAGCCGAGTATTGACTATCATGTTTACACTTGACATAGTTACCTTCACTTATCCGAGCTGTAGAAGTTGTGTTATTTTTCTCGTCTTTTTTTGTAGGTCATTAGATCAAATAAAAAAATACGTAATAACGAAAATATATGAAAAAAAAAAAAATAATGTAGCTCGTTGGCCTTCAACACAAAATGCTGAAATAAGCAATTGAAATTCTCACCCTCATTAACCCCTCCCCTCCCTTCATTTATCAATAAAGATAAAATACAAACTGAAAAATACACAATTAAAATAAGCCTACTGAAATTCTCACTCATCACTGATAGATATAGAGATCTGCGGAACGAAGAAATCACGTACAATAATAAAACATATATAGAAAAATATGCGCAATAAATTAATATGATCTGAATAGTGTTGCCCAAGCGAGACCCAGAATAGTGCGCACTCAGTCTTGGTCTTCGTTCTGGTCTTGCGCAAGGGTTTCGCAAGTCTTGCAGTTGCAAGTTAGTCTATTACTTTAGAGATATTACTGTAATTTTTCAGAAAGGAGAAACCAAGACCGAATGAAAAATTGGAAGAATTATTGAAGGGAGCTAGTCGACTGTTCTACATATCGTGGATGATAAATATTCAGGACGCAGTATTTTTTTTTTTAATAAAAATTTTAATTTTTTATTTGTGCCAACGTTTCAACCCTTCATGTAATGTACTTGAACACCCTTAGTGCTCAAACCAAGTCCTGAAGATCACCTACATGTTTATGTTGAAAAGTTGGCACAAATAAATAATGTATTTTTTTTTTTTTAAACACAGTCCTGAATATTTATCCCCCATGAAAAAATGGAAGAGTTAAATGCAAAAATATAATGGTTATACTAATTCTTTACATATAGTAACTAAAATTGTCAAAAATTACTGACTATTTTGGCTTAATTTTTATTCACAAAAACGATTTTTTTTGGACTGTTACAAAAACTTGGTTTTTTACAAGACCAAGACCGATTTTGGGCAACGGTAGATATGATAATGGGGAAAATTCATAATTTTGTAATTATTACTAATTAACGCCGTAGAAAAGAAAATTTATCTATGTTGTTTGTACTTAATGGAATGAAACCCTCAACCAACGTCTCTTACTACGTCGTAATTATTGTTATTTCGTCGTTTATAATCCTATTATTTGATCAAAATCCTATAAATTATATTTATTCCATACTTTTAACAATTATTAACAGTTATTATTATTGAATAAATATTTCCTAACTGAAATAGCAGATAATTTACAATCAAGAGCTGGAGATCGGAAAGCTCTGTTTTCTTTCGGGCCCATTCGGGTATTTTCGGTAGTCTAGGAATAATGTGCGTTGAGTGATCTTGATTGGTTGAAAGGGAACTATTGCCGAATTAAGTTTATTATAATTATTTTCTTAAAATATTCATTCACCAAAAGAGTTAGCAAATGGTTGTCTCACAAATTTCTTGATTTCAACTATTTCAGGTGTCTAATAAAAAATTCATATATATTTGTCTTACGCTTGTTAACATCGGATGTTCCAGCGATGATGCTGAGCTTTAAGTAGCTGGGCAAAGTATGGGTGCAATGAGCGGCTGTTATAGCGAACTTTTCGTTGATGACGGAAGCTCCGCACAGGACCTCATTACTGTAACGCATCGTCAACATTACCATCCATGGGTACTCATTTGGTAGCGCCACGGTACCTCCAACGATTCTTCCTTTCTGCATCGGAAACAAAATAGATTATTACTATAAAATAGTTAGGAAAATTAACTAAAACGTTTCCCTTATATTTGGCATGCAGAAAATACAAAATGAATCCTGAATGATTGTTACCTTAGACATACCGCAAGGACATGATGTTGACTTTTGACCAGGGGTAGATCCAGCGCCAGTCTCATGAGAATTTGCTGCAAAGGCTCCTCCCAAACCCAAGCAAACAACCAGCACACAAGTCCACCGCAACATCTGTTTGAAATAACGTATTTCATTATCTGGTGTAGGTAATTTAAGCGTTAAAATGGGTAATTTTTAATAAGCAACAGTTTCTTTGATGAGATGAATGGGCGTAGAAAATTCAATTGAAGTCTGGGAAGCAGATGAAGAAATATAATAAAATAAGCTATAATAAGGATAATTTACGTCGTCGTTACAGAAACTTTTTCGCTAAAATCGATTTCACACATTTTAACTTATTATTGTATAATTAAATGGTCTTTAATATTAGGTAGGTGTTGTTCTGAACATGTAATGGTCGAGCACATTGCGACTTGGACTCCAAAATGCCCGGTTCTGAACGATACCGGTGCAATTCTTACCTGTGTCAATTAATTTCATTTCTCGGAAGTGCCGAAAAATGAATTTTGGCGCTCCAACTCTAGAAAATACGTAGCTTCAACCTCAAGGTAGCCCTCAGGGATCGGTCTGACATAACTAAATTTTCATTATTTCTTACTCTTAAGTTCCTTTTATTTTGTTTATTTGACATGAATAACCACTTCACAATATAACGCGGAATAAAATATTTTTAAATATAAACTATGAAAAAAATTCCTGTATAGAACACCATCACTAAAAATCAATGGACCTCTAAGATCCTTGGACCTATACAATATACAACCTAAATTAAATCTCCAACTCACCCAATTCACCAAAAATACTACATTACCTGCAGATTACAAAGAAAAATTCCACAAAATAATCATCACGTTACCTGAACATCTTATAATATTCACCGACGGATCCAAATCAGATACATCTACTGCTTCAGCCTTTGTCACTCCTGATACTACCTACAAATATAAATTACACCATCTTTGTAGTGTTTACACAGCAGAGATTAACGCCGTAGCAATGAGTCTCCGGTACGTCATGAAGAAGCCAGTTGCAAATGTGGTTGTTGTATCGGATTCCCTAAGTAATCTGAAAGCTATGGATAACATGTATCCAGACCATCTAGGGATACACTGCATTCTAAGTCATATAAAAATGCTTCATGGAGTTGGAACAACGGCACATTTTATCTGGTCGCCTGGCCATATAGGAATTAAAGGAAATGAAATGGCTGATAGAGCAGCAAAGGAAGCTCTTACTCTTCCAGGCCGCGGTAAAGTTTTTTTGACACCATCTGAACTATCACGACCTCTGAGAGAAACCATATTCCAAGAATGGCAAAGCCGGTGGGACAACAGTGCACCTAGCAAATTAAAAACAATAAAGAAAGAGGTGCAACCGTGGACCAGCTCCAGACACAGCAGTCGTAGAGAAGAGGTCGTCCTCACGCGGCTGAGAATCGGACATACTAGACTGACTCACCTCCACCTCATAACAAAAGATTCTATCCCCCGATGTCAAAAGTGTAATCAATCACTAACTATAAAACATATTTTGGAAGAATGCCCTTTTTACACCGCAAGATTAAAAGATTTTGGAATACCCCAGAATATATCAGCATCCCTGGGAAATCAAGAAGAAATCGTTACCAAAGTCATCAAGTTCCTGGATAGTGAAAGACTTAAAAAACACATTTGACAGGCTTTTTTTTATTTATTTTTTTATTTATTAACTTTTTTGTATCTATTTATTTTTATTATATTTTCTCTTATTATTATTTATTTATTTATTTTTTCACTTGATTTCATTTCATTTTAAATTCATTTGTTTATTAATCTCAATTCATTTATTGATTCTACTGCTATTTTCTAAAGTTTATTTATTTATACATTTTTTATACATCTTATTACCTATAAATGTCTATTATTATCCTTATTTATTTATTTTATTCTATCAATCCATTTCTCTATTTATTTTATTTTATTTTTTATTTTTATTTTTATTTTTTTTGTACCAATCATCCAAATAGTATTAAATGATGTTATTTAGTTGATCGGGCGCTTATGACCTGGATGTTTTGCGCCTAGACATCAAAACAAACAAAACAAACTAAAAATCAAATTTAATCTACACCTGAAAAATCTTCTGAATTCCAAATAGTGAATTATTCATTACAGTCAACCATCAATTCACTATTAGGAAAAAATTGAATGATTAGCTAAACAAGAAATGAGGGTGGTAATGCGGGAAAGCAGAACTCGAGGGTGCACCTGAGCTTGAGCGAAAAGTTATAGACTTTATATCAAATCCAATGATTCAGCAGTCATTCTGAACATTTTCTTCTCCTTTAGATAGAAAAAATAGTTCCATCTCGCAGAAATTTCAAGAAAAAGAAGTGATGGAAAAGAAACTTTATTTGCAAAGACACTGTATTTTTTATTGCACCCAAGGTTATTTGAAAGATTTCTAAATTTCCTCCACAAGATACATAAAAAATCATTGAAATGGGATTAATAATTGCAAAGCTACAGCTTATAGTAATTTGTAAACCTGTGGGTTTAACACATGAATAAAGTTTTAAAATACGTAATCTTTCTCTTGGTCGATTACAATTACCGTGAAAATAACAATTGAATCTCCATCAAATGATACTACCTAAATGATATTAAAGATCATTTAATTATACAATGATACACGGAGTTTAATCAAAATCGTTTGAGCCGTTTTTGAGAAAATTGTAAAAATGTGTTTCACCTTTGATATAAAGTGGCACTTTCGGTTTGCCGATTTTAAGGAAAAAGTTGCTGTCACATCTGAGGCATATACCTATCTTAAATGCGTAATATCAGTTTCGTACAACTTTTCGTTTTTTAGCTAGAGTGTTCACATACACACAGAAACATAGTCCAATATTCTGGACTTGGTTATTTGGACTCAGGGTACCTCAAAACGTGTATTTCCGTTGAAGACACAGATTCGAACACTTTCCCGATTGCAATACTTTCCCTTATTATATATTACATATATAGGTAAGTGAAAGTAATTCTTAAATAGAAATTTGATTATTAAGACTTTAAAATATAAGTCCAAAAAACTAATTTTACAAAAATTATATTCCACGGAGAAAAACTAAAAGTAATGATTATAATTTTTAGCTGTTATATCTTGAAAACTCCCTTACAGTGAATTGAACTTAAAAGGTTTTGGAAGTAAGCCCTCGATATTTATACTTTCGCAGAAAAAAAAATTCATCCATCATGATGTTTGTAATTTTTTTATGTTATTGAAAGAAATCCTGAAAAAGATTTTTAATGATAAGCCTGAATGGTTGAATAGAAAATCCGATTTATTACTCATTGAATATTTTAGTAATGTAAGTAATAGCGAATTAAGGATTGAATTTTGGGGAACAGATGGATAACGTTTTTTAATAACGGCAATTTTTATAAAAGTAATTTTTTTACGGATAAAATTTTTATATTTTTTTTGAAATGTGGCCTCACATTCAATAGCTAAAATGCATGCGTTATAATTTTAAAATAGGGTATATTGTGTTAAGCATTTGATTCAGTTCATGCACAATAAAAAAAATGAAATTATAAAAAAAAATTTCTTTTTGGGAGGGGAGAGGGAGCAACTGTTTGAAATTAACCTTACTTTAAGAAATTTTAAAATGATGTCTTATTACATTAATGAGCTAAATAGTGAGATATTAAATCAAATGTGTCTTTAAACGGTATAAAGATGTTTTCTATTTTTAACGCAATCGCGTAATTTTAAAATAACAATATCGAAACTCACCTCTGATTGGTACAAAGACGTCTGAACACATCTAGCGGCTCTCAGATCATTTATACCATTATTAAATAAACTATTTTTCTAGCACCTGTTAATTAGGAATTTCAAAGCAAGTAAATAACAATCAGAGTAGGGAATGTATAATAACGATTTTATTGTCTCTTTTTGAATATCAAATAGTCAATCGTTGATATCAATAAAAGGAAAATTCCCTTTGCATAGTTCACGTGATGCTACTGATGTCGAATTCAGTGTTGCAAAAAGGAATGGAGAGAATAAAATAGTAATTGCCCTGTTTTGATTAATTAAATCTTTTGGAATATTCCTGATAAATGTTTTATTTTAAGACTTACAGCTATATATTATATACCTGCCTATTTCAAGCAATAGGCAATTCAATATGTTAATATATTCCATATATCAATATTTAATTCCATATATTAATATAAGTATTATATTAACATGATATTTAAATAAAATAAAAAAATGATCTACATTGTATCAATAATTATTTTTACTACTCATACCCGGAGTTTAGCTTTGAGGCTCCAGTAAACCATCGAATTCCTATCTTATCCAATCCTTACAATCAAAAATCCTTTGTAAAATTCTTAAGGCCCCATATTTTGTCACAAATATAACCATTCATATAGACCTTAATGTTTCATATGTCGATGATTTAGCCCTAGCCAGATATCTATCATTTCATGATAAAACTCCAGTCCCATCCGAATCCACTTGTTTCCACTCTTGCTTCTTCCTCGATTTCTGTTAATCCTCCTAGGAGTCTGAAAAGGAGATAAATGGCCTTCTTCCTTAGAACTTTTTAGAGAGGGTTACCACTGTTAAGTTATTATCTCTCAAAGTCTGTTCATGTCATTATTTCTACAGTAGTAAATTCCATTAAATAAACAAAAGCAAATACAATTTTTTTTTTCGGTTGGCGCTACAGACCATGAAGATCTTTGACCGCGAGTGTGATCTCCTAGACCACATTCCGATTCCCGATTTAATGTACGGGGTAGGGTCATCAATCCTACGCTCGGTCAGTGTGAGTTGCCTCCAGTAGTCTGACGTGACTCACATACCCGGGGGAGGGGGAGGGAGGAAGGAATCTCGGGCAGCGTGACTTTCCTTTGTGGACAGTCACCTATCCAAGAACCTAGCCGTGCTCGGCGTTGCTTAACTTTGATTACCTATTGTAAGCGCCTTAGTACGCAAGGCTACCCCAGCCCCCCTATATATATATATATAACTTAATAAAGTAATTCAATTTATATACATAACTTAACTTAATTAATATTTATAGTTCATAGTTAAGTTTACTCTACCCACATGTTTTTATACTACACCTTTTACCTACATATTATTATACTTTTGCTGACTAGTTTCTTGTATTAGTGTTATCTTATCTTTTCTTAGCCCTGATGAAAGTCTGAAACTTGGGCTGAAACGTTGAAAAAAATAAAAATAATGTATATATTTTTACTTCTTTTCTTTGATTATCTGAACACCCCGACCAAAGAACCGTAATATTTTTTATTAATTGTCATGAGTTTGTATTTATAATTATTGTAATATCCTTAAGGTGTATTAACTTTTTAAAAAAATAATGTTTTTCTGAAAGTGCGCCTAGTTGCACTGTGGTTCAGAGGCGGAAAAACCCTTAAAATGAGAGTTTCCAAGCACACTTTTCGTACTATATTATCTTTCCTTAACATCCCCAGAACTTAGCCCAATAACTATTTTCTCCAGTTTCCTCCTATTTAGTCCTTAAAAACACAAATTATTGAGAACTTTTCAGTGATTTTACAAAAAATTGACGGTATTTATATACATTTTGAATAAATATTTTCAGGTCTTAATAAGAGTTATTGATTTTGTCATGTGGCCAAACTAAGCATTATTTATGAAATAATTTTGAACTAATGCATTTGTACGTGTATGCATGTTTTCTATTTAAGAACAAAATACATTAAAGTGAAAACATTAGCCATCAAAGAATTTTTCAAATGTATGAATTTAGAGTAATAATTGATCATTTTCTGTTATTTGCGAATTCGATGCTATAAGTCAACAGACCTTTTCTTTTTCAGTGTCTATTCAATTGGTGAGAATAAACATTTACTATTTACTCAGTTCATTAACCAAGATAAACAGCCAGGAACTCGTCGATTACTTTTAGCCACAGTTTTATTTTTATCTTAAGAACGAAATTCCACAATTATCCATAAATTCTCTAATATTATTTTTCAAAAGTTCATATCAATTTTAAAAACGCATTTACTTTCACGAGGAATCGTTTGAAATCCTTCTATTAAAATCAATTTATTAAATATTCATAACTAAATGTTGGTAGCCTTAATTTTAATGTTGTATGGACGTTTATGTCTCTCTACATTTATGATTTATAACTACGTCATGACTAAATTAACATTTTCATATTTCAATTTGTGTGGGCTTTATTAAGATGATCTTTGTTAAGGAAACATTTAATGACGTACCCTTTGTTAAATGTCCTTTCTTAAGTTTCTTTGAATATGAAACATCTGTTAAGGTTACCTTTATTGAGGTGGCCAGAGTTAAGGTGACCTTTTTAGCTTTATACACATTTTATATTAACATTTTCGTTTGCATTTACTGTTATTTATTTTCATTTTATTAACAGTTAAATTTATTAGTCACAGTTCATATGACATTTATGGGACCTACCATTAAGGTGAGCTTTGTTGAGGTGAGATTTCTTAAGTTAACCTTTGTTTAGGCGACCACTGTGAAGGTGAACTTTGTTTAGGCGACCTAAGTAAAAGTGACGTTTGGTTAGGTGACCAAAGTTAAGGTGGCCTTTTTTAACATCACATATAGGTGTCCTTTATTAAAGTGATATTTTTTTAGGTGGACTGTATTAAAGTGGATTATAATCACTACTTCTTTCTGGTTTGATACATTCAAGCATAAAACTGTATGTTAACCAAATGCACAATGCAAAAATTAGGACAGAAATTATTAAGTGGGCTTTTTAATAATTTATTATATAACATCTAGAGTGGACCTGGAAAAAGTAGATTGGCAAATATAGTTATTGGCTAATGTGTAGAGAACAATTTATTTTCCAATCTAGAAAGTTATTAATTGGAGCTAGGTGACAACCATATTAGTTATTTAATCACGGTAATTTTGATTGTAACCTAAAGATAAAAATCCATAAAAAAAAGTTACTAAAACTTTCAATTTAACTCAATTAGGAAATAAAACAAACGAAAACAAAGAAAATTAGTAGATAGTTCACCATAATAATTTTTAATCTACACCTAAGTTCCTATAATTGAAATTTAAGAAGAAATTATATGTCGCAACATATCCTAGGATTTTATGATTTATTCATGTCCACTCTTCCATTTTTACGTTAATTTAAATCCTATTTTCAAAAGAAAATTTGAAGCATCAGAGAATTGAGAGTCTCACTGTCTTAAACCTTCAAATAAAAAAAAAAAGTAAAATATTCAGTTGTTTTGTTAACGTATCTTCAAATACACCCATAAGAAAAAAACACACAAACTAATGTATAAAGATATATATATATATATATATATAAATTTATATTTTTAAATATAGACTATTATTTTAGAGAGCGGTGTAGCTCAGTGGGTGAGCTCTGTCTTCCAGAGCTCAAGGCCCCAGGTTCGAATCCGACTGATGACTAGTAATTTTCCATCAACCGTGGGTCGAACAAGAGGCCGGGAGACCTTCTTGGGGCAAACCCAGCCTCTATAAAGTGGGTACTCTTAATTAAATAATTAATTAAGGGGGAAAACCTGGCGATTGAGTGTGATATCGGCCCCATCACCTCCCTACACAACCGTTGGCTTTGTAACAGTACTTCCTCATATTGTACTGAACTCATAACCCTTCATGGTTTGTTACTGGTACAGGTTATTTTTTTTTCTGTCATTTTATTGTTCGTTTTACAATAATTATGTTGATTATTATAAATATCTCTCATAATTTTTTTAATAATATAGACCTTCCAGATTTTTGGCGAGGAGTGGACGGGTCATCTTCCTTCTAATCAGAATGGAAAGTCTGCACCTTTGGTAGGTACAATTTTAATGATATGGAGTAGTGCAGGTTTTTAAACATATTTCGACAATAAATTTAATTTTATATTTTAATATTTTTTTTTATATTATTAAAACACTTTATTCAGAAATATTACAATTTGTCACAGTTAAGGACACTTATAATAGAGTTCAGAGATTGCATTCATACCGTATATACAAAAATATAAATAAATAAAGTAATAACAAAAGAATAAGAAGAAAGAACAAAAGAGTAAAGAAAAAAAAAATATATATATACACATAAGTAAATAAAAATAGAAATAAAAGTAAAACAAACACTTTATATAAAACATAGATTATTTATAATTTGCCAGGTGATCTCCGAACCAATCCTGCCCCCTCCACATGTGGAGGGAAAAGGGAGGCTTAGGAGATCCCTACGCTTCTCCCTCAGCCACTTCACTGGTATTTTAAACCAGCGGAGGATGAGTAAGAGCGCTACAGCCACAGACACTCATGACTTGAGTGGAGAATCTGGCCATTGCTAGAACTCCAAAATATCCATATTTACAAAAGGTCTCGTGGCCACTGCCGCTTTAACCTACGAAGGGGATTGTAGGGATGGGTGGTGCTTGATAGGGATTGTACAACGGGATTTGGGTGATGAGAAAGGTTCTGGTAAATTTGGAAAATTTGGCTGGGATAAGATCAAGAATAAATGGGATATTAAGGTCATGGTGTAGGGTTTTATTGGTTACATAGAAGGGAGCATTGACTATTGTACGGAGGACTTTAGACTGAAAGGATTGAATGCGTTTGATGTTAGAAAATTTGGCTGTTCCCCATAGTTCTAGTCCGTAAGTCCAGATGGGTTTCAGTATTGTCTTGTAGATCAGTAATTTGTTTTCACCAGAAAGTTTAGATTTTCTATTCAGTAGTCTATATAGCTGGCCATATCGTCTGTTATGTTCCTGTCTTTTAAGTCGAGTATGTGGATTCCATGTTAGTCGTCTGTCTAAGAGAAAGCCAAGATACCGGACTGTATCTGAGAAAGGAAGCTGGATGGAGTTAAAATAAATTGGTGGGC